AGATCATACTCACGGAAAACCGTAAGACCCACTCTGGCAGTAAAAGCCATACAGCCTGGACATTCTTAAAATTGCTCCCTGTGGGTAATTCCATAACCTTAAGATAATGGAAAAACTAACTGCCCGATGTGAATGATAAACCCAAAGTTAAAGAGTAAACCCCTCCCTATACCATTAGCTAACTTAAATAAAACTTATAAAACCCTTTGTTAGAGTCAAAGGGGGGGTCCTCTTCCTCACCTGGGAGGAGAGACTGCTACCTTGTCTATGAAGTAGTTGCTTTCTTACTTCTATGCTTAATAAATCTTTGTCCCTTCCTCTAAATGACTTGCTCCTGTATTCTTTCTTACATGAAGCCAAGAGCCCTCTTAGCAAGGGGCCTGAGGCCCTCCGTTCTGGGGTGCTGGCCAGTCTGGCATCAATCTGGGTATTAAATAACCTTGCTCCGTGTTTTCAAAGCACACTGTGTCCACTCCTTTCACCTCTCCTCTCTAGGGCACTCTAGAAGGGAAGAAAGGGAAGGTGAAGTGCATCTGAATGAACCACATCTTAATCCACTGGCCGTGTTTTTAAACTAGGCCGGCTAACTTCAGAGCCATGCTTCTACATTTTTATTAAGGTAGTATTCTCACCATAACACAGTAAATAGTAAAGAAGAGGCCGTGATGAAAAGCAGCATTCTCCTACCCCCAGTCTCCCTGCCACCAGCCTGCAGGCAATTTCTTGGTCTGTTTCTGTTTGCCTTTCTACTAGTTGTAATTTCTCAGAAAAGGGTGATGAGAGGGTAAATGTTTTGAATTCTTGTCAGTCTGAATATGTATTCTGCCCTTTCACTGAATGACAATTCAGCTGTGTATAGAATTGTAGATTAAAAATTATTTTTCCTTAGAAAGTTGAAACCTCTAGTGTTCTCTGTTCATTTTACCATAGATGAATTTCTTTCTTCTCTCTCTGAAAGCTTTTAGTATTTATTCCCTTGAGATTTCAGAATTCTCTAGTGATCTGTCCAGGTGTGAGTTATTTTTCATTAAGTGTGTTGGGTAGTTCGTGACCCTTTCAATCTGAAAGCTCTTGTGCTCCTCAGTTGTGACTAATACTACTATTTATTTGATAATTTCCACCTCCCCATTTTCTCTACCCTCTTTTTTCTTTGATTTCCTGTTGCTCCAATGTTTAGTCCCTTAGATTGACCCCTTCCTGTCTCCCATATTTTCTCTAATGTTTTCCATATTTTTGTCTTTTTGCTGTACCTTCTAGAAGACTTCCTTTTTTCATTTATTTTCTTCAATTTTTAACTTTAAAAATCACTTTTGAAATCTTTAAGAGCCCTTCCATATTCTCTTTTTCCCTCCCATATTTTTCTGCTATAGGATTTTACATAATTATTATATTTGTTTAGCTTGAATTAATTGTTTTCTCTGGCATCAGCTTTTCTTTTTACTTTTACTCTCTGAGTTTTCCTCCAGGGCCTGGTGATTTTTGATGACCTATTCATATCCAAAATAGAAGGCCTAGGTAGCTGCTGTGGGTGTCCCCTGCTGAGTAATGAGAGCTACCCTCTCACTGCCCCTTCTCAGGAGGAATCCTGACTGGGAACTTTGTGTAGAGCAGGGTAGGGCTGGGTGGATTTATTAGCAGTCTTTACCTTACGGGGACAGATCCTCAAATTTCTAGAATTGGGTAGATTTTAATCTGTGGTGCCAACAGCTACCCTAGAAGCCTTCATCTTCCTAATTTATTATTTTTTAAAGTTTGCTCAATTTTTTTTGTTTTGTTTCCTTCTATTATTTTTTTTTTTTAAAGATTTGAGAGAGATAGTGAGTGGGAGAGAAGGAGCAGGGGGAGGGGCAAAGAGAGAGGGAGAAGCAATGAGCGGGGAGCCCGACGTGGGGCTCAGTCCCAGGACCCCGGGATCATGACCTGAGCTGAAGGCAGATGCTTAACTGACTGAGCCACCCAGGAGCCCCTGTTTCCTTCTTTTAGAGAGAAATCCCAAGAGTTTTCGTTTTCTTTTGTTTTTGTCTGTGGGAACAGCCTGGCAGCCTGTACTCTGATGTTGTTGAGGGATAGTGGTAGAGGAGGGCCTGCTGACTGGTAGTTTATCCCGTACATGAACCTTCAGTTAATCCATCCTTTTTCAGCTCCGTTTCTTGTTCCTGTCCTCTTGCTCTACCCACTGAGTCTAAGCAATCACAGTCCTACAAGAATAGCTTTCACCTCCTTCATGGTCATCTTTGCTCCCTGCTCCCATCTCTTACCTGTCATCCAGACAGGGCCTGGGACACTACAGCATGCAGGTCCAATCAGTTAGGCTACCTGTTTTTATAAAATAAAGTTTTATTGGAACACAGCCATGCTCATTTGTGTATATGTTGTCTGTGGCTGCTTTTGTGCTACAAAGGCAGAGCTGAGTAGTTGCAATGGAGACCAGCAGAGCTGAGTAGTTGCCGTAGTTGCCTGAACGATGTACTTTTTTTTTTTTTTTAAAGATTTTATTTATTTATTTGAGAGAGAATGAGAGACAGAGAGCATGAGAGGGGGTAGGGTCAGAGGGAGAAGCAGGCTCCCCGCTGAGCGGGGAGCCCGATGCGGGACTCGATCCCGGGACTCCAGGATCATGACCTGAGGCGAAGGCAGTCGTTTAACCAACTGAGCCACCCAGGCGCCCCCCCCCCTTTTTTTTTTTTAAAGATTTTATTTATTTGAGAGAGTGAGAGAGAGAGAGCACAAGAGGGGGAGCGAGAGAGGGAGAAGCAGACTCCCTGCCGAGCAGGGAGCCCAATGCGGGACTCAATCCCAGGACTCCAGGACCAGGACCCGAGCCGAAGGCAGTCGCCCAACCAACTGAGCCACCCAGGCGCCCTGAACGATGTACTCTTTACAAGAAAAGTTTACCAACCCTTGGTTTAGAAATTTTTTGAGATTTCTCATTTTCTGGTGATCATACCTAGTCACCTTTACCTCCTCGTTCCTTTCTCTTCATATATACAGGCTTAATCCACTGTAAAATTCTTCTAATTCAGTAATTCTGAGGAGGTACATAAGCCTCCTCAGGCCTCCAAATGCCTACTGTGCCCTCATGAGCTGGAAAGACAGAGTTCTTATTCTTACACATTTTAATATGCCAGCAGCCTGCTTATCAATGGCTGCCTTTCTTGTGTGACCATTTAAGGTGTGAGAGCAGGGACTCTAATTCCTTGTGTCTTAACACAAAGCCAAGGACATAGTAAGCCTTCAAAGAGTCTTTGTTGAATATTAAATGAATAAATGAATATAAATATGTTTAAAAATTTTTTTAGAGTAGTGGGTTTTTATCTAGTTTTTCTTTTGAATGCAACATTTAAAATAGCTTTTACCTATTTTTTCATTTATATATTCTTAAGATTAATTATATGAACAATGGCTAATTTATTATTAGTAATGGAGAGGAGCTTTGTGTTCTGGATATGTATCAACCCAGATACTTGCATTCTACCTCATTTTACTTATTAGCTCTCTTTTTTTCTTTTACAAGTTAAAACAACTTATCATAGTATTTTTCCTTTTTTTTCCATGGTGTCACATTATTTTATGTGTAAATAGTTGCAGTTTGAAAACTGCATGTTTGTAGTTGATAAATATCTGCATAGTGATCCAGAATGTTCTAGGAGCATAATTTTCAAATATTTTTCATTTGTGATTTTTAAAAAATGTCTGTGTGAAAGAATTATAAAAGATGATTCTGAAACAATAGACTTGTAAATAAGAGTAAGAATAGAATCTGAGTTGAATGGTTTCTACTTTTGGTGTGTGTATTTCTCTTCCTGGCTATCTGAGTATTATTTAGAATCATCGCTCATATAAATTAAGACAGCTGTATGGAGTTCTTAAATAATAGATGGTTTCGATAGTAGACATTTCCATTAGAGTAAATTTGTCATTTTTTTCTATTGCAGTTAATGTGTTTCTCTTGAGTCATGATGTTTTCAGTAGTACCAATTTAAAATTTATAACAGTTACATTAAGTAGAGCGAGCACCTGAATTATTTGCTCATTTGGAAATTAGGCAAATGACCTGTTTTAACATCTTCTGCAGAAGAGCATTTTTTATGGATGCACTCTTTTCCCTGTTATTCCCCATAAAACAGAAACACAATTAGGGATTTGTTATTATTTGTTACTTGATTCAGCCCATCTCCCATGCACCCTTCAAATACATAACAAGTTTATAAATGCAGAAATTTTGGTTTTTAAATTTTTTTCCCCTAACTGCATCATATGTTTAGAGAAAAGAGAATGTCATATTGGCATCTCCCAAAGGAAGGAATGAGAAGGACATTTTCTTGGCACTTTGAGAGTATTGAGCTCTTGAGTGATGTAGTGATAAAGAAATGTCCTTGGCCTCTGACACAAGATTTCACAGGGCTAGAATTCAGGGGAAACCTTCCATTTATCCTTTTTCTTCTTGCCTTTTTACTTTTGCTATGTGTATATAAGCTTATGGGGTAAAAAAAATGCTTTTTCTCAAGTACATTGTTTTTTGTTTTATTATACCTAAACTTTTTGAGGAAAGTATTTTAAATGGAATCTCCAAGAATGTGGAACTGTGTTGTGTGTTTGTGCAGTGTCATTTGTAGAAGAGCATAGATATCCCATGAATTTTTGACAGACAGTAAAATACAATGATATAAAAACTTTTTTGTAAGTAGTATGTACATCAGTGCTGTCCAGCAGTAGTTTCCAAGATGATGCACCTGTTCTGTATCTGTGGTGTCCAATATAGTAGCCACTAGCCACAAATGATTAGTGAGTACTTGAAACATGGCTAGAGACTGAGGAATGTAATAGTTCATTAAAAATATATATTTTGGTAAAGTTTTTTTTTTTTTCTTAATAGATTGAGGTGTCATTTATATAGCATAAAACTCACCTGCTCTGGGTGTGCAATTTGATTGTCTCTTATAATGATAGACCAACAGATTTTAATTTTTTTCTGATTTTGATTTTTTTTTTCTTTTCAGGTAAATATATGCAGATGATGAACATTCTTAAGCCGATTGCCTTTGATGTTATTCATTTCATGTCTCAGCTATTTGATTACTACTTGTATGCAATATATACCTTTTTTGGTCGGAATGATTCAGTAAGTCACCTTTGGAGGGAAAGTCTGTTTCTTTTAATTTTAAAATGTAAAGTTTTTCATTCTCTTTGTATAAAATACACAAATATTATTTAGAAAATTATTCATCAGAAATCTAACAAAATTTTTGCTGTCAGCTTTTTGTCTGCCTAATTACCTTGTTTATATATTAATTTTAAGCTTTGAAATGATAAACATATTTTATGTTATTCAGATTTTTGGCAGAAAAAGTGCAGCATCTTTTTTTAACCTTGACATATTTTGGCAATGAAAAATGTGTGGGTTGCCTTGTTTAAATCTGGCCCAGTGTGTAATTACTACACAGTAAATGAGACATTTTAAATATTGGCTTACAAACCTTAGCAGGCACTACTACATTCAGAAGATAATGGCAAATATTTATTAAAATAATTGAAAATCTTTGAACTGAACCTTCTGTCTGCTACAGAATTGTTTCCTATACCTCCTTTTTGTGTTTCCAAAGCTCTTATTGACTTTATCTTTTTCTACTCCTAAAGAGAACAACACAATATTAGGCAGGTAACTTATCTGATATTTGGTAATTATTATGTGGGTCACCTAGACATTTGATAGATTTCTGTGTAAAAGGATACTGTTGGGTCCTATGACTATATCATAATACAAAGTTTTCATGTACTATATTTTGTATCTTTTTAAAAACATGAATTTTGGGGCACCTGGGTGGCTCAGTTGTTAAGCGTCTGCCTTCGGCTCAGGTCATGATCTTAGGGTACTGGGATCGAGCCCCACATGGGGCTCCCTGCTCGGCGGGAAGCCTGCTTCTCCCTCTCCCAGTCCCCCTGCTTGTGTTCCCTGTCTCACTGTGTCTCTCTGTCAAATAAATAAGTAAAATCTAAAAATAATAAATAAATGAATAAAAAATAAAAACATGAGTTTTAATGGATAACTACATTTATTATATAAATGTTCATATCCTTGCTGTGATTACAGTTATATCAAAGACATGATCTTTTATTTGTTTTTATTTTTTTAAAGATTTTATTTATTTATTTGAGAGAGAGTGTGTGAGTGGGGGGAGGGGCAGAAACAAGTAGACTCCGTGCTGAGCGTGGAGCCCAACACAGGGCTCAACCCTATGACCCTGAGATCATGACCTGAGCCGAAACCAAGAGTTGGACACCTGATCGACTGAGCCACTCGGGAGCCCCAAAGACATGATCTTTTAATAATGGGATCTGAATTTCCTGTTCTTAATTCTCTATAATATTCCTTAGAAAGAATACTAATAAAGTCAGAGTGTTGCTACAGAATTTAGGTTACTATAAAATATGTACTAATTCATTGCTCTGAATTTGGAAACTCAATAAATAAATATTAGAGAAGAAAGATTCTAGAATTTTAGCTAATTGTCAGAATCTTTAAGTCTTCTAGATGAGCCTTACTCTCTCTCCTGAGCTGAGCCTCCAGACCAGCACTGTCCAAGAGAAATTTTATAGTCATGGAAATGCTCTAAATTTCTGCTATTATGGTAGCCACTAGCCACATGTGACTATTGAGCACTTTGTGTGATTAGTTGAGGAACTGAGGACAGATTTTTAATTGTATTTAATTTTAGCTAATTTATCTCTAAATATAAATGGCCACATGTGGCTGGGACTGTCATATTGGATAGAATACTTGTGGACCACATTGTTGATAAGATGTGTTAAAATAGGGTTCTTTGGAAGCTTTTGGGAACTAATGCTTTTGGACATGAATTTCTAGCTGATTATATATTGGCACAGATTTGTTTACAGTGGAGTTACTAGGACCTGAGAAAGTTAGCAAAATATAGTTAGGTGCTTATTGTAAAATATGCTACATATTTTATTTAAAATATGTCATGTTTTAAAGAACACATTAACCTTATGTTTTATATTAAAAACATTTTCAGTCTTATAAGACTCAGTAACAGCTATTTAATTAGCTGTCAGTTATAAGCATTTCTGTCTTTAACCTGGGTGTCTATACATATGTCATATTAGAAACATTTTGTATTATTTGAACCGATACAATGTGCCTATGAGTGAGGATGTATGAATACAGTGCTGCCTCTATGTCTTGTACTTTTTAAGAAAGACTTTTCCTGTTGTTAGAGTATGCTTAGTAATACTAGCTTGTATCTACCATGTGAATATTGAAAATATGCACATCTTCAAATAGAACAATTTATAATTCGGACCCTACTATTTTTGATTCTGCAAAACTGAAGGAAACACTATTTAAAGCAAAACAAAGACTGAATCTCCATAAAACTGAAGCGGTAGCTTTTAATTTGCTAAGAAGATCAGCCTTCAAGTCCATTAGAAATCCTAGAAATTTTGATATTCTAATATGTACATACATACATATATACATACTCCAAATTGCCATGTTAGCTGTTGAGTCTTAGGTGGTAGGAGGGGAGGAGTAATTAGGTAACTGGTAGAACTGGAAGAACATGGTGGTACATGATTGCTCCTGCTTCTCTTCCAGGGAAGAAAGACATTTGTATGAGTGACTTTAGATGGATGCTGCCTGTAGAAGAATAAGCATATGTTTCTCAGGGTTTCTAGAAAGTCATTGGCTGGGGAGCCATAGTGTATGCAGTAGGCTAAGGGATTCTTAGTGTTCATACTAATTCCTTCAGACGCTCTTGCTCTTTGCTGAACTGTTCATAACTTACTACATCATGCTCTATTATGTATCTAATCCATTTGGCTCTATTATGATAATGTTAGTTACAGTGTTGCTTTATTTTGCCTTGCCCCCAGCCTTCCATTATTCACCTTTTGAGTTATAGTTTCTGTAGTTCTTCCTGTTATATTATCTCATGAAGACCATTCTGTATCTTACCTTAACACAGTAATAAGCACATGGTAGATTCTTAGGACACATGTATTGATGTCCTAATTATTTCTTATCCAAGTAAATCTGATGAGTGTTCTTACTTGAAAACAGTTTGTGAGCATCATTTAAAGTTACCTTCATTAATGAGATTTTTTTTTTCCATATAGAGTCTGTGATTCCGTTTTTAAACTTTTAAGAATGAATTAACTTCTGCTTCTGGCTATGAAGGACTAAGATTTTACTGGATAATAATCCCTGTAGAAAATAGGGATGGCTCAGTAGGTTGCGTGTCTGCCTTCAGCTCAGGTCATTATCCTGGGGTCTGGGATCGAGTCCCGCATCGGGCTCCTTGCTCAGCGGGGAACCTGCATCTTCCCTCTGCCTGCTGCTCCCATTGCTTGTGCCCTCTCTCTGACAAATAAATAAAATCTTAAAAAAAAAATAACTATAAAACCTAAATGTTACACAAAAGGCAACTACCTAAAGATACTGGAGAGTGAACAAAGCATAGACTCTAGGGGTGGTGGGGGCAGTTCATGCTACTGTGTAGGCTGGGGAAAGGGGAGCTATAAAAATAAATTCCGTCTCCTTGGCCTTGTAGCCCAGGATTGAATACAGTTCACACAGCACAAGGTGGAGGCAGGCATAGGAAAACCTTCAGTCTTTATGGATTGGGGAACCAGAAAAGTGAAGCCAGGAAACTGGGAAAGTGAAAAGAGTAGGGGGAAGTTCAGAAGAAAAAGAGGTAGAGAGGCAATCCCCCAAATCTTTTACCCCCATATTTGATTAACCCATAACCTGTTCATATGAAACAGATTGACTAGAGACAAAGAAAAAAAATATGTGAACAGAGAATGAAGCTGTTGCATAAGAGACAGTTTGTAGTACGAGCCCAGCCAAGAAAATTACATAGTGAAAACAAAGGAAACAGTGCCCAGTGGAGAAAAATAACAAAATCCAAAATCTCCAGAATTAAATTGATAATGCAGTCTAACTTTACCCAACATACATAAAACCAAAAAAAGTGGAGTACATCCTTAAGTAAAAAGAAAATCAATTTAGTTTGACCCCAAGATGTTGAAACTAAGGGATAAGAATTTTAAATGGACTATTAGAACCATCTCAAATAAAGTAAAACGAAAGATGTTTTAAATGTATGAACATCTCAGTAGAAAAATAGTAAGTTCTAGTAGAAACATTAATAAAAAAAAACAAAGGGAAATCCTAGAACTGAAAAATAGAATTTCAGCCATTAAAAAAAAATTACTGAATGTACTTTACAACCAAATTGACATGGCAGAGGAAAGAATATGTGAACTTGAAGATAAGTCAATAGAAATAATTCAAAACGAAAAACATAGAGATAAAAGATTGGAAAGCAAAATGATCAAAGCCTTAGGGACATGTTAAGTTATATCAAATGATCAAATATACAGGTAATTGGAATACCAGATGGAGAAGAGAGAATGAGGTAGAAAAAAAAATATTTGAAGAAACACTGGCCAAAAATTTGCAGATACAAGATACTAAATGAACAGCAAGCAGAGTAAGCACAAAGGAACATACAGCATGATACCTCATGGTGAAACTGTCTCTGGAAAAGTACAATAGGCTTATTACATAAAGGGACCAATGATCTGATTCAGCTGACTCCTCATGCAAAACTGTAGAGGCTAGGAGAGAGTTAATACCTTTAAGGTACTGAAAGAGAAGAAAACAATGTCAATCCAGAATTTATATCTAGCAAAACATCATTAAAGAATGAAGGTGAGGGGCGCCTGGGTGGCTTAGTCAGTTAAGCGTCTGCTTTTGACTGGGGTCATGATCCTGGAACCCTAGAATCAAGCCCCATGTTGGGCTCCCTGCTCAGCAGGGAGCCTGCTTCTCCCTCTTGCTGCTGCTTGTACTCTCTCATGCGATCTCTCTCTCTCACTCTCTCTCAAATAAATAAAATCTTAAAAACAAAAATGAAGGTGAAATTAAGACATTTTTAGATAAAAGAAAAACTAAGACAACTTGTCACCAACAGACATGTAATACTGAAATGCTGAAGGAATTTTTTTTAGGCTGAAGGAAAATGATACCAGAAAACTTGGATCCTCAAGGAAGAATGAAGAGCATTGGTAATGGAAACTACTTGGGGAAATACAAAAGATTATTTTTTTCTTTTTCTAATTTCTGTATAAACCATATAGCTGATTAAAAGTGAAATCATAACATTATTTTCTGGAGTTCATAATATATGTAAATATATTACATAAAACAACTATAACAAGATATGCACCTATAAGATGGCAAGATTTCTATATATTATGTTAAACAGAACATTTTTAATAGCAAATGGATTGTGAAATACCAAAAATGTATATTGTAATTCATAGGACAATGAAAAATAATATTTAAGACTTTAGATCTTTTGCCAATAGGAAAATTAAATTAGAATTCTAAAAAATAATATTCATATAATCAGAAAAGGCAAGAAAAGAGGAACAAGGAACAAAAAAGAGATAACCTATAATGAATGGTAGCTTTAAATCCAACCAATAATCACATTAAATGTTAATGGACTAAACAATCAAATTAGAAGGCAGAGATTGTCAGAATGATTAAAACAAAAGAAACACTTCATTTTTTAAAAGATTTTATTTATTTATTTGATAGAGAGACAGCCAGAGAGGGAACACAAGCAGGGGGAGTGGGAGAGGGAGAAGCAGGCTCCCCGCTGAGCAGGGAGCCCGATGTGGGGCTTGATCCCAGGACCCTGCGATCATGACCCGAGCTGAAGGCAGATGCCTAATGACTGAGCCACCCAGACGCCCAACAAAAACACTTTAAATATAAAAAAAACACGTACAGGTTGAAAGCAAATGCACTGAAAAGATATGCCATGCAAACAGTAAGTGTTTGCTTTCTTAAGAAAGCTGCAGTAGTTGGGGCACCTGGATGGCTCAGTCAGTTAAGAGTCTTGCCTTTGGCTCAGGTCATGATCCCAGGGTCCTGGGATCAAGCCCCTCAGCGGGGACTCTCTTTCTCCTTCTCCCTCTGCCCCTCCTGCTCATGCGAGTGCTCGCACTCTCTCTCTCTCTCTCCCTCCCTCCCTCCCTCTCCTTCTCAAATAAATCTTAAAAAAAAAGTTGCATTAGCTATGTTAATATAAGATAAAATAAATTTGAAAGCAAAATGTGTTACCAGAGATAAAGGGATTCATAGTAATTTAAGGGTCAATTCAGTTGGAAGGAATAGCAAGCATAAATGTGTATGTGGCTACTTAACAGAGCTTCAAAATACGTAAGACAGTACTTGACAGAATTCAAGAGAAACAAAAAAAATTCCATTATGCTGGAGATTTAAAACTACACAGTAACTAATAGGACAAGTATATAGAAAATCAGCAAATACATAGAAGATTTGAACAACAGTTTCAACCATCTTCAGTTAATTGATGTTTATGGAACAACACACCCAACAGTGGCAGGATATATATTCTTTTCAAGTGCACATGGTATGCTTATCAGGATAGACCATATTCTGTGGGCCATTAAGTATGTTCTAGTGAATTTAAAAGATTAAAATCATGTAGAATATATTCTCTGATGACAATGTAATTGAATTAGAAACCAGTAAGATAACTAGGAAAAATCTAAGTGTTTGGAAATTAACACACTTCTAAATAAATATTGGTTTAAAGAAGAAATCATAAGAGAAATTTGAAAATATTTTAAAGTGAATAATAATGAAAACACAATTTATCAGCTAAATAAGTGCTTAAAAGGAAGTATCAAGCTTTAAATGCCTGTAGTAAAAAAGAAGAAAGTCTCAAGTTAATGATAAGCTACCACCTTAAGAAACTAGAAAAAGAAGTGTAAATTATGTGCTATGTCTCTTAAAAGGGCAACAAACCTCATGACCTCATCTAAACCTGATTACTTCCTAAAGGCCCCATCTCTAGATAGCATCTCATTGGAGGTTAGGGCTTCAACATATGAATTTTGAGGGGACAACAAACATTCAGTCCATAAATGGAATAACTAGAATTTATATACATTGTTTATGGAAATGCAAATTGGTACAGCCACTGGAAAACAGTATGGCAGTCCCTTACAAACTTAAAACTATGCCTATTTTATGAACCAGAAATTCCACTTTTAGGTATTTACCCAAAAGAACAGAAAATATATGTCTTCTCAAGGACATATACACATATATAAATGTTCATAGTGACATTATTCAAGTAGCCCAAAACTGGAACCCAGATGTTCATCAACTGATGAATAAACAGGTTGTGATATATCCATGTTATAGAATACCATTAAGCAATAAAAGAGCATGAATTACTAATAGGCTTACAACATGGATGAATCTCAAAAGCATGTTAAATACAAGAAAGAAGTCAAATACAAAAAACTACACATGTATGAGTCCATTTATATGAAATTTTAGAAAAGGCAAAACTGCAGTGACAGATCAGGGATTAAGGGTGGAGGGAGGGAATCCATGCAAAGGGCTTAAGGACATTTTTAAAGGTGAGGGAAATTCTACATCTTGATTGTGGTACTGGTCATAGGACTGTATACAGTTACCAAAATTCTCAAACTATATATTTGCAGTGGCTAAATTTAACTGTGCAAAAATAAGGGCCTAGTGAAAAAAGAGGGGAAATGAAGTAATAAAGTTTATAAAACCTAATGAAAGTAAAATTTATTTAAAATAACCATATTACGGGGTGCCTGGGTGGCTCAGTCGTTAAGCGTCTGCCTTCGGCTCGGGTCATGATCCCAGGGTCCTGGGATCGAGCCCCGCATCGGGCTGCTTGCTCAGCCAGAAGTCTGCTTCTCCCTCTCCCAGTCCCCCTGCTTGTGTTCCCTCTCTGGCTGTCTCTCTCTCTATCAAATAAATAAACATTAAAAAAAAAATCTTTAAAAAAATAAAATAACCATATTACATGAGTTCATGTTTTACTACACCATGCCATCACACCACTATTGTAGCTTGAGGCTTTCTGTCACGTGTCGTGTAAGTAATTCCTTGTTCTCATCCTATCTCAGATAGGAAAGGATGAGGAGCAATAAATGGGTGCGCATGCCATATATATTATAATTTTCTATGAATGAATTAGGCTATATATTTTATAGTTTACTGTTACCAATGTTTTAAATTTTTTGGCTCATATAGAACATTCTAACATTTTTCCAGATGTCTGTATGTAGCTATGATTACCTCTTAATTAAATTTATATTCATCAATTGAATCATCAACTAAAAGCCAACTGGCTTTTCATGCCCTTTTTTTTTTTTTAGATTGTATTTATTTATTTGAGAGAGAGAGAGAGTGAGCATGGACAGGGAGAGGGACAAGCAGACTCCGCGCTGAGTGCAGAGCCAACTGTCAGGCTCTGATCTCATGACCGTGAGATCACCACCTCAGCTGAAACTAAGAGTCTGATGCTTAACCCACTGCACCACCCAGGCGCCCCAGCTTTTCATTTCAACAGTCGAGTGTCCCTTCTCATTTATATTCTTGCATGAGGATGTTTACAAGTGCTTCGGCTCTGATGTAGTAAAGCAAAGTCTATACTGTGAAATGTTTACTGAGCCTAAGAAAATCTTTCCTTAATTTTTGGATAAGGATTTGGGCTATGTGTAATTTGTGTTAGAAAATTTAAAACGGGGCACGTGGGTGGCTTAGTCAGTTAAGCCTTCGGCTCAGGTCATGATCCCAGGATCCTGGAGTCTGGCATTGGGGTCCTTGCTCAGCGGGGAGCCGGCTTTTCCCTATGCCTCTGCCTCTCCCCCTGCTTGTGCTCTCTCTTTCACTATCTTTCTCTGTGGGTCAAATAAATAAATAAAGTCTTTTAAAAAAAGAAAAGAAAATTTAAAACAGTCTACATTATAATGCTTTTACATAAATTCGACACAGTGCAATATCTTTAAGTATCTGAAATCGTAAGTTTTAGAACTAAAAATAATAACTTCTGGGAAAGAGAAATATTGGTGAACTCTCTCCTGATAAATTTATTAGGTTGACAGATGCTAGTGTGACCTGTAAATGCAAATGTGTAAAGTAGTTCTCTTGTTCCCTTAAAGGCTAAGGTTTGACTAATATGCTTGATGTTTTGAAACTTTTAAATACAGTTTGGAGACCCTCTGAAGGCTAAGTGAAAACTCATCAGATTCTTAACTTTGGTTAATTTGAAGTTATAACATATAAAAGATTATCTCCAAAGTGATGTAGCATACCTTTCTTTTTCTTTTTCAGCTGGAATCAACAGGACTAGGCCTTAGTAGTAGTAGACTAAGAACAACTCTTAACAGAATACAAGAAAGCCTTATTGATATGGTAAGTAACCAGTTGGAAATAATTCTTTTGGGTTACAGAAAATAAAAATTAGCCATCCAATCAACTACATATAAATGTATGTTTATATGTATATTGAGTGCCTGAGTCCTCAGTATTACACTATGTGCTTGTAAGGAAGTAAATAGAGGTTTCTTACAGTCTGATTGGAGAGAAAAAACTGGTATACATGGGAAGAGTGTGATGTTGGCTATACATCCAGTACAAGTTCAAGGGGAGGAAAGGTTTATGTGGAAACGTGATTTCAGAGAATAATTAAAGAAGTGAAACTTTTGCTAGTCTTTGAAGAACAGGCATGGGGTTAGTGGGAAAAAGAAGAAAGATTGGCATTCAGATTAAGGTTCAGAAGCTGAGAAAGGGCCTGGTGGTGGGAGCAGGCCTGGCCCAAAGTTTGGCCATCTTTGAGTTTGGGACACTGGTATATACTGAAGAGTCGGGTTGCAGAGACTGTTTAGGAACCACTTTACAAATGGCCTTGAAATTCAAGGAAGAGGTTTCGGTATAGTTGGCTATGTAGTAGGGGGTCTGGATTCTTGACTGTTGTGTCATATAATGTAACATGTTTTTTAAGAAAATAAGTTAGGCAGCAAAACAGGGCTGAGCCTTTGTAGTGTTTAAGCTAACATAGGCATTTAAAATAACGAAGTTTTTTTCTTGTAATGGGTCACTGTAGCTAGAGATTGTTGTTGTTCAGCACATTCCTCTGCATCTACATTAACCCCAGGATCCTCTAATTTTTCTTCACCTACCCAAACAAGCAGTCATTTGCCTCTTTTCTCATAAAGTCTATTATTATGTACATACTTCTGCTATTGGAGTTTTAATAAAGCAATGTAATCATTCTTTTAAGAAATACTAATTGAAATAATATTTGCTGGGTGTGGTAGTAGTGCTGGACATTCATCCGTGCACAGAAGAGGTAATTCCTGTCTTGGAACTTAATATTTTATTGAGGCAGAGAGAAACAAATATGTAATATAGTATCAGAACCTGAGAAGCGCTAAGAAGAAAAGGAAGCAGAGTGATAGAACAGTGGTCTTTGAGCAGAGAGGTGAGTAAGATGAGAGAGGCATGTGTTCGTATCTCGGGAGAGCACTCTTTACACAGAGGAAATCACCTGTATCCACCTCATCCATCCCCCTTATAATTTGGAGATCATTCTGCCCAGTACATGTATATTTATATTTTCATAGCACTTACCTCAGCAAACTGCATTTCTTCAGTAAATGTTCGTAGAATAAATGAGTAAACTCCAATCCCTGAGTTTTCTTGTCTTCTGGCTTAACCTGTTTTGTTTTCTTGGCTTTGCTATCCATTTAATCCTGATCGTGTTCAGAATCAAGGCTCCTTGTTTGACCCAGCCACTTATTTATATATATTTTTGTCTTTGTTTTGTAAAATCCATTGGCTTTTAACTCCATTAGAAGTTACCCGTGTTTCTGTTTTGCTTCTCCTTGTTTGATACTTAGTATAACCTTGACCATCACATCTTGTTTTGCAGATCTTAGTCCACAGCTTAGGTTTTTCTTGTTTCTGGCTGAAAGCCATGACATTGATGGACTGAATGGTCATAATCAGAAGTCCAGAATGGGGTATAGTTACCTCTAGAACTCATTACTGTTAACCTAGTCTCGGCTTCATGACAGTTATAGCAGTAGTTTCCTTAATAATAAAATAATAATACAGTTAAAAAGATTGTTAGGTCAAAATTTACCACTAGAACCATTCACTCTGATGTCTCGGTCATCTCTGCTAGTTACTGGCTCATGATTGTCAAACCACAGTTCCAAATTTGACCTTTAAGGCATGGATTTGATGTTTCAGATTTTGCCGTATGGTGTGTAATGAGTATCATGACCGAGTAAATAAACTAGCTATTCAAACCAGCTGCCACCCATCTATGGATAACAGTGTATCTGTAGCATCTGTCTGACCAGTTCTGTGTTCATTGGGTAAGTTTTTTCCAGAACTGGTAGTCAGATTTAGAAACGTATTTTTAAAAACCCCTCCCCAATAAATGGATAGATAGATATGCCTGCTTTTTTCTTTGGTATCTGGTCTTTTAAAGATAATCTTTTCTTTAAGTCTTTATCGTTACCATCTCTTAAATCAAACTGCACCTCGGATCAGAAGGCCATGAGAGCAGTCATTCCTTCTTCAGTTTGTAAGTAGTGCTGACCTTTTTGACAGGGTCTCTCCGGAGTCCTTATTCCTCCTACAGCAATACAGAAGTTTTTCTCGAATTTTCTGTTGGTTTCCAGTGTTACATGTTAAATTATTACTCATACTGATAAGCATTGGTATATTATTTTAGAAAATATATTTGTCATTTGCTAGACCTTGATCTCAGGTTCTTGTAAGCTGTTAAATTAATTTTTCTTCACTTCATTAATTTGCATCTACATTGGCAGAGAACATTAATTGGTTTCTTGCTATTCAATACAGTCTTTGGCTATTAAAATAATTTATAGCCTAATCAATCTGGAACCACTAGATGAAAGTTGTACTTTCTCCTGGTTAAAAGTGTAATAAGCACATTTCTGGTAATTTCATTTTCTCCATATATATCTTCTAAGTTTTGCTTCTCTTTAAGCTGTGAAAGGTATCATGGAATCATTATGGTCTTAAAAACACCACCTGAAATTGTTTATCATATATATTTAAAGTAAATAAGAAAATTTGACACATCAAATAGAAGTTCAAGAAAAGGAGTCTACTAGGGGGAAGAAGAAAGGGAAGCTGGAATAGGTCATACTGGTACCAGAACTGTGAATTTTTAGTTATATACTTGATGATGCTAAATTGTTTACTTTAAGATCTTTGACTAACTTGAAATCTTTGATAATAAAAATATATTTTAAATCAGTCTGGAAAAGTCCATAAAAATGACTTCTCTTTGTAGTAGTAAATTATTAGTGGCAGGAGAGGTTAAACACTGTGACTTTCACTGTGAAACTAAAGATTTTTATTAAGGTTTTATTTCTCAAAGTCTTCAAGGGGTTTTATATCTTTCCCTTATTGTACTGGTGTAATATGGAACACTGATCCAGTTTAGGAGCTTTTCCATTGAAGTGCGCAATAAGCACATACCATTTATTTATATCAGCTTGACATTTTTGTGACTCTCTTGCTCTCTTCAAGCCTGTTTCCCTAAATGTAAACACAGAACTGTAGCCTTTAAGCAGATAATTACCATAATTTTTATGCCTAAAATGCCAGTGTTAACTAGGGACAAAGAATGGCATCCTAATGCAAACCTTTTGAAGTGGGGGCAACAATTCCAGTGATCACTGCAGGAATGTTTTTGTGAAAGAGCTCTGTGAGTAAAGAGGGAGTTCAGCACATTTGAATGGCAGGTAGGTAAGGAGTAGGTAAGGACGGAGTAGGTGAGTGCTTGTGGCCTTTCCTGTATACCCAGAGATAAACTTCATTTCTCTCAGGCCATAGATAAAACCTCTCCTTGCCTTCTGTCACCTTCTAGCACTACTTCCCTCTTCTATCCTAAATTAGCTAGTTAATATCTATATTCACAGGAACTTTTAGTTTTTAAATATATTTTTAGTTTTTATATATATTTATATATAAGTGATAACTAATCATAAAAGAATGAAATTCAAAAGTAACCCTGCTAGTATAAATATGTGGTATTCATGGTATTCAGGGTTATCCTGGTGCTATTTTGAGTTTGAGATTGTGCAATATTGGCAGAAAGTTCACGTCAGTTTGTGTCAGTGTAATGACAGAATATTTTATTTTTTAAAATATTTATTTATTTATTTCAGAGACAGAGACAGAGATAGTGAGAGAGAGGGCAGGAGCAGGGAGAAGAGGGAGAAGCAGACTCCCTGCTGAGCAAGGAGCCCGATGTGGGGCTCGATCCCAGGACCCTGAGATCATGACCTGAGCTGAAGGCAGACGCTTAACTGACTGAGCCACCCAGGCGCCCTTAATTACAGAATATTTTAAAAGAGGGTGTGTTTTGGGCACTTGGGTAGCTCTGTTGGTTGAATGGCTGCCTTCAGCTCAGGTCATGAACCCGGAGTCCTGGGATCAAGTCCCACCTCAGACTCTCTTCTCCCTGCTCCTGCCTTCTCTCTCGCTATCTCTGTCTCTGTCTCTGAAATAAATAAATAAATAATATTTTTAAAAAATAAAATAAAATATTCTGTAATTATATTGACACAAGCTGACGTGAACTTTCTGCCAATATTGCACAATCTCAAACTCAAAATAGAGAAGGGGTGTGATTTTGTTTAGATGATCACATGGCTTCTTTGGGGAGGTAACCTTGAAATAGATCCCTAAAGGAAGAAATAGAGGAGTGAGCCACCAGGATGAGAATTCATTGATTTAACAACATTTATTTAGTGCCTTGTTTATTGAACACTTTATATATGATGTTAGACCCTGTCTGGGAGTTGAGGATACAATTTTGGGTGGGGAGAGAGCAATCCAACAAAACTCCCTACTCGTGTGCAACTTGTTTGCTAGTAGAGAGGGAATATTTTGGAGAAAAGTGTCTCAGGTGGAGGGAACAGGGAATGCAAAGGCCCTGAGGTGGGACCGTCCTTGACGCACAGAGATGAGTATAACTAGAATGAAGCAAGTAGGAGGGTTGGTGATAGATAAAACCAAAGAGATAGCCAGAGCCTAGATCATGTAAGTCCTTTGGATTTTACTCTAAGGAAGACAGGAAGCTGTTGGAAGAGATTTAGCAGAAGAGTTGACATGATCTGCCTTAAATAGGTAAAAGAGAATTATTTTCGCCATAGTGTATCACAGTTAAGGAGAGAGATAAGGTGGCTTGTACCAGTGTTAATGGAAGAAGTAGTGAGACATGGTCAGATTCTGGATGTGTTTTGAAGGTAGACCCATCCAGATTTGTTGATGGATTATAAGTGAGGTAGGACCCAGAGAAGAGTCAACGATGATACCTAACTTCTGGAGAGTGGAGATGGATAAGACTTTTAGGAGGGACACATTTGAGTTCAGTTTTCAGATATGTTAAATGTACCAAAGGTAAGAGAGAGGTCAGGGCTAGCATGTAAATTTTGAGTTCTTGGCATGTGGATGATATTTAAAATGGGAGATGAAATCATCTAGGGAGTAGAATTTGAGTGAGAGAAGTCTGAGGAGTGAACTCTAGGACACTCCAGTGTTTAAAGGTCAGGGAGAAGAAGACAGACTAGCAAAGGAATCTGAGAAGTGGCCAGTAGCATAGGAGAAAAACCAGGAGGGTTTGGTACTCTGGAAAATAAGTGAAGAAAGTTTTTAAGGATTAGCCATGTAGGATGCTACAGTAGTTTAAATAAAATAGGTATTCAGAATTGACTATTGGACTTGGCCATAGGATGCCATTGGGGACCTTGATAACTGTTTCTTTGGAATAAGGCACACAAAAGCCTGATTGGAATGGGCTTGAAAGAGAGTAAGAGGAGAGGAAGTAAAGACTCTCTTACCATCTTCATCAGTTAAACCATTTGAGGGCCTGCTCATGCCAGGAGGCATGCCAAGGTCTTGAGATACAAAGATGATGAAATTGGTCCCAGTGCTCCCAAGAACTCACAGTGAGGTAGAGGGGTCAGGAAACCACAACCGACAAAGTGCACTTGATCCCATGTATAGACATACGTATATGTGTAGGTAACATTAACACAAGTAAGATACTGGGCGCCTGCGTGGCTCAGTTGGTTAAGCGTCTACCTTTGGCTCAGGTTATGATCCCAGGGTCCTAGGATCAAGACCCGCATCAGACTTTCTGCTCAGTGGGGAGCCTGCTTCTCCCTCTCTGCCTGCCACTCCCCCTCCTTGTGCTCTCTCTCTCTCTCTGTCAAATAAATAAATAAAATCTTAAAAAAAAAACCAAAACAGAATTAAGATACTAATTTTTCTTGGGAGGCTGAGAAAGTTACAGAAAGGAGGTAAATATGACCTCAGACTTAAAAGATGAGAAGGACAGAGCTAGGCAGACAAGGAGCAGAGAGCTGGTAAGAGAAAAGTGTCAGGAAGACAGGTATAGGAGGTAGTCCAGTGCAGCTAGATCCTAGGGGCATAGAAGATTACTGGGAAATGAAGCTGGCAAGGTAGCTGGTATCACTGTAAAGGAGTAATATCATAATGACAAGTTTAGGCTTTTGTCTATAAGGAGTGGATAGTTAATTGAGACTTTTAAACCGGGAGTGGTGTGATCACGTCTCCATTTTAGAAAGATCACTTGGGTATTCCAGAAAAATCAGCCAGTGAACTGTGTGCAAAGTGAAGTAGAAATAAGAGAAGCCAGAGGGAGAGGTCTCTATTTGGGGACTGTAAGTTCAGGTAGAAATGCTGTGGGGCCTTGGTCCCGATGAAGCAGTGACAGGGGAAGAAACGAAGGAGAGGTGTGTGCTTAGACATGATGGAGGGGGGAGGGGGGGAAAGACACGAATGATTCCAGGGTTCCTCACTTGGACAGTCTGGTAGATGGTAATTACATAACCACTGGCATTAAATGAAATAGCACAGGCAGCCATACCAAACAGGATGTAGTTTTGTGACTATGTGTGTGTGTGCAGGAGAGGGGTGATTATTTTCCTTTCTAGTAGGAGAAAATAAATAATGGAGCAGCAACATTGATTAACTTGCATAGTTTCCTTATCCTGATCCTCCCTTAGAGAAAGCACAGTTGTTCCCAAAATAACTTTTAAATGCTAATTGAATAATTAGAGATTGAAGAGAAACCATATCTTTTATAGAAGATAGGATATAAAAAAGAACTAAAGAAGAATAAAACCATTTTCTACCTTGGAAGGTTTTATAATGTTTTAGTTCCATTTTGCTAAATTTATAAACCTGTTATGCTCCCAGAATCCTGTGCATTTGATGTCTCTTTCATTCATAAGGCAAGTGTTGGAGATTTGTGACTATATAATTGATTTAAGAAGTAATCTAGATTTACATTTTGTACACTTTTAGACTTGTTTGTATCCAATTTTTGTGCCATAGTTTTCTTGGAGGATCTTAAAGCTCAGTACACCCTGCTTTTCAGGCATCCCTTTCTTTTATTCCCATTAACCATCTTCCTTCTCATCAGTAACATGACCCCAGACGTCTACCAACACAGTTAGCTCAGTTTCAGTTTATAAGTGCTTTTTAGTCCTCTTCTTGAGATATACCAGAGTTACCTTGATTAAAGTGTGGATGTGAAATGGTTAACCACACCATAATTTTGGAATGTGCCAGTTCAGTCCTCCAGAGGCCATCTCTCTTTTCTCATTTCCAGGTTTTCGAAGGGCATCTTACTATTGTCTCTATGAAACATCTGCCAATTCATAAAGATTGCTTGTGTTGGCTGATTTTAGGTCATGCGCAGATAATAGTATATGGAGTTGGATCATTTTCACTTTATAAAAAGGAAATTTCCAGTAGTTAGAAAATATAAAAGAAGGAAAAGAAAGAACAGAAACTAAATGTAATTATATGTATGCCTACAAGTATTTTAATTACAGGTCCAGTTTTGTAAAACCACATGGTTTATTGCTATTAGATTTGATTTCAGGCTGTGTGTGTACATGCGTTGTATTTTCAGGAAGTTTCAGCTGATCCTACTGCCACCCTCACAGCAGCAGAAGAGAGAAAGGAGAAGGTACCAAGTCCACACCTCAGTCACCTAGTGGTTTTGACATCTGGGGATACATTATATGGGCTGGCGGAAAGAGTGGTAGCCACAGAATCCTTGTAAGTTGTTAAAAACCGTTGCTTTGCCTTTAAGTTTTTAAGAAAAGTTATAAAAGTAAGCATTGTATAATTAGATTTCTAGCTGTATCCATCTCCCACTTCTGAGTGTCACTTATATATTTCTGAGAAGTCTATCCTAAAATAGATTACCAGTTGATCTTTAAAACTGCATGGTTGGTTTTCAGTTACATAAATGGAAGAAGGGAAATCTTTTAGGTTTCAGTCTTTAGCAACATGATCCTTGCTTTAAAGTAAAACTTGAGGATCAAGCCCCGCATTGGGCTCCCTGCTTGGTGGGAAGCCCGCTTCTCCCTCTCCCACTCCCCCTGCTTGTGTTCCCTCTCTCTCTGTGTCTCTCTTTGTCAAATAAATAGATAAAATCTTAAAAAAAAAAAAAAGTAAAACTTTAAAAAACACCACATTATAGCATACTTTATATTTTCCTATCAAATTGTGATTCTAGAGAAACTAGTTACGATGTCCGTTTAGTGTTAAATGTAGTCAGCCCTTGACATCAGCAAGAATGCTTCCTGACCTTTATAAATCCCCCAGTTTTTAATACAGGTAAAGCACATGACTTCTTCCTTTAAATGTAGTCCAGTATCAGTTCAGAGTTTTTGTGTACATTACAAAAAATAGAGAAAAAGAGGGCAGCTGCTGGCAATACTCTGGGCAAATGACCCCCTCCTGCACACCAGCCTCCTGACCTGAAGTTCACGTGTGTGTCTCAGCCAAGCTGCAGTTTGCTGCATGAGGTTACTTAGGAGAAGTGCCAGCCAGATGTTAAGTCTGTGAATTCGCCTCTCTGTTCTGTATAATTAAATGGGATCCTTATGGGAAATCCTTTCCAAAAAAAACCTGTTTCGTTTTTTCTTCCGTCTTTTCTGTGATCTGTGCTTCTCTGTCACATGCAGAGCAGCATAGCTCTACACCTTGTGGTTTCCAGAGCAGTTGATCTGAAGTCTCCTTCTTCCACCTCTGCTCACATTCCGTGATAAGCTCAGCAATAACTTTTGGGTAGGTTGTAAATGAGCTGATACAAGGTGGTTCACTCAAGTGGAAAAGAATTTTAATGGTCGAACTTTTGCTTAGAGATCTTAAAGATGACTTATACAGAGAAGTATTGACCAGCCTGTGGATCCTGCACTCTGCTTACGCCGTGGCTTCTTTATTCCCTTTAGGGTATTCTTGGCTGAACAGTTTGAGTTCCTTCAGCCCCATCTGGATGCCGTGATGCCCGCAGTCAAAAAGCCCTTTCTTCAGCAGTTTTATTCTCAGGTCAGAGACACTCTTGGATGTCATTTCAACTGTGAGCACATTATTTGGGTTTTTTGGCTAGTGGCCAGTCTCCAAATTCCAGGAGAGCAATTAGCATACGTTTATTCACTCATGAATTCCTGTATGAAGTACTGAGCACCTCCTATAACTTTTAGTCTAATGCCCATTACAACTGTGTTTACAATAAAGTATGATAAGGGGGAAGAAATGGCAGCAGGGAATTTAACCTTGGCTGGAGGAGGAAAGGGGCATGTGTCATCGGGAGAAGGTTGTCTAGAAAGGCTGTCTGGAGGAAGGATGTTTAAGCCGGGGCAGCCGGCTATGTCGGGAGTATATTGCAAACTAAGGGAATGGCTTACATGAAGACCAGCTGGTGAGAGAGAGCAGGGTGCCTGTCAGCGGCCGAGGAAAAGTCAAACTGTCAGAGCAGGGAAGGGGGCTAGTGGTGAGAGGGATGCCTGGAGGAAGAAGCAGGAGCTGCATGGTACGCAGTGCTCTCAGGCAGGAGGCGGACTCTGTTTCGAGGGTACAGGCAAGGTACCAGAGGATTTGAGACTGGTGAGTGGCATGGTCAGTGTGTAGTTGGCAGCAGTAGATGACAGGCCTGCAGGCAGGGAGACCGGCTTGTAGGCTGTTACAGGTTTACATTTGAGAGATGACGAAATCTTGAGGCGGGGCAGTTGGAGTGGAAATGGAGAGACGTGAAAAACCGTGAGAAATATTTGCTCGTCTCCCTGAAGATCTGTGGTTCTTTTATTGTTGTGTTACCAGTGGCCTCACGTTGATGGGATGTCTCCAAAGTATGTTTTGAGTAAGTCATTTGCCAACGAACTGAAGGGTTTTCATAATTTAAATCTCCAGATATATATGTTTTATTTTTAGATGTGATGTATACTAGAAATAGGCACAGAAGATTTTTTATAAACTTGATACTTTTAGAAAATATTTGTTTTCCTTTTTGTGAAATGTATTTCAGACAGTCTCAACTGCCAGTGAACTACGCAAACCAATTTATTGGATTGTAGCTGGTAAAGCTATTGATTATGAACAGATGCTGCTCCTAATGGCGAATGTGAAGTGGGACGTAAAAGAAATTATGTCACAGCACAACATCTATGTAGATGCACTGCTAAAGGCAAGTACACAGAAACACCTTTGTTTTTTTTTTAAGATTTTATTTATTTATTTGAGAGAGAGAATGAGAGAGAGAGCATGAGAGGGAGTAGGGTCAGAGGGAGAAGCAGACTCCCTGTCGAGCAGGGAGCCCGATGTGGGACTTGATCCTGTGACTCCAGGATCATGACCTGAGCCGAAGGCAGTCGCTTAACCAACTGAGCCACCCAGGCGCCCCAGAAACACCTTTGTTAAAGACGAGTCTACCAGGAGAACTGTTTCTATCATTGCCCTTGCTCTGAAGTAGTGAGATTATAGTTATTACCACATTGCTAGCATCATGATATTAAAGCCCCTGAATCAGAATAGACTTCCTTTTTGAATTTTGTGTTCTTTTAGACCCAAGAATTCTTCGTAGATTTTTTTGGTTTTTGCTCCCTAATTTCCCATCTTGAATTAGAGTTTGATTGGCATGTCTTGGCTGATTTTCATATTAAATAATTTCAGTAACCATGACTGTGGTGACAAGAAGATATTTCTGTAGTTGTGTAGATTTATTAGTAAGAGACCAGGCCCCTGATTATTCCATTGTTGTTGTTGTTTTTCCAGAAATCACTTTACTTTTGCAATGTGTCATGCAAACACCTTTGCATTTAAAACTTACATTTAAAAGTTTTCTGGAAAGACTTGTACATTTTTTGTCATTTATGAATCAAGAGAGATTTGTAGATCACCTGACGTGTGCCACACACTGATCTAGGTGCTGACAACATAGTTGTGAATTAAGGAACTTACATGCCCTCAGAGAATTTACATGCCAGTACGAAGACAGCAGTAAAGACATAAATTAAGGGGCGCCTGGGTGGCTCAGTCGTTAAGCGTCTGCCTTCGGCTCGGGTCATGATCCCAGGGTCCTGGGATCAAACCCCGCATCAGGCTCCCGGCTCGGCGGGGAGCCTGCTTCTCCCTCTCCCACTCCCCCTGCTTGTGTTCCCTCTATCGCTGTGTCTCTCTCTGTCAAATAAATAAATAAAATCTTTAAAAAAAAAAAAGACATAAATTAAGATAAAATATCTCAGATAATGAATAGCCCTGTGAAAAAGTAAATAAGCAGCAGAAAAGGGATAGAGTGGCAGGGTGTGGGTTGGGGGCAATATTGTTTATTTATGTTGTCAGAGAAGGGGATACTTACCAGGAGATAAAGTGAGAGTTGGGGAGAGGCCCGAAGGAAGCAAGAAGATGAGCCATGTGGATGTCTGAGGTGAGAAAAGGGCATCTGAGGAGATGAAAACTGCTTTCAGAAAAGTCTTGTTTTTCATATTTGTCAGTGAAAAGAAAATTGGCCCTTCTTAAGCTCCTGACTTTTATCTTGTTCACACAAACATTCTTACCTGCTTAGTCCAGGGCAACAGATGGTAGCCGGGACACTTGCGAACCAGTAAGCAAAGCCAGAGATCAAAACAGAGATAGCAGCGGAATTCATCATCTCTCTGCCTGGTGCCCTTCTCGAGCTCTGTGATGGAGACTGCAAGACCCTCCCCAGACTCGAACTAAGGGTGGGAGATCAGTTAGCAGTGTCTAGGGGTTACTGTCGGGTCTGAGGCTAAGTGACAAGGCTGCTCTGTAATTGCCACCCTGGGAGAACTTTGATTTCTAGACTCCCCATGAGATTTCAATTGGGAATTTTAATTTGGAATATGATAGACAAATGTAATTTATAAATAATCACATACCCTTTTTTTTTTTTACAATTTTGTTTTTGAAAAGTTTATTTTTTATGGCATGCTAACCATGGTACTCATAGGGATGCAAGAAGAGAGATTTCTGCACTCAGTGAATATATATACTAGTAGGAGACTACTTGCTTTAGTTCTTCTTGTTTTTTTGTGTTTTTTTAAAAGACATTTATTTATTTATTATTTATTTATTTATTTATTTATTTATTTATTTATTTATTTGAGAGAGAGAGAGAACGTGCACCACAAGCAGGGAGAGGGAGAGAGAATCTTGAGCAGATTCAGCACTGAGCTGGACATGGGGCTGAGATCATGACAGCCAAAACGAAGAGTCAGATACTCAACCAATTGAGCCGCCCAGGTGCCCCTGATTATTTTTAATTATAAGAAACATTAATATTGTAAGAAAGAACCAAGTTTATTCAGGTTATTAACCTGAACCCAGTTTTTAGCAGCTTAAAACCTTCTTTCCTAAGGAAGCTTTTATATAACTTTTTTTTTTTTTTTCTTTTTTTGAGAGAGAGCATGAGCAGGGAGAGAGGCAGAGGGAGAGGGAGAAGCAGGCTCCCCGCCGAGCCAGGAGCCCGATGTGGGGCTCGATCCCAGGACCCCGGGGTCATGACCTGAGCCGAAAGCAGACGCTTAACCATCTGAGCCACCCAGGCGCCCCGCTTTTATATAACTTTTATTCAATTACTTTTCCAAGTCCAAACTTTTAGGTAAAAAGCAATCTGCATTTATTGGCCCCAAAAAATCTTAAGTAAAATGAAATGGTTTTATTGTTCATTTAACAACATTCTTGAACATTGAATTTAGCAGTGAGTAGAATGACATTGTTTACAGTTAGTATATCACTGTATTTTTTTTTTTTAAGATTTTATTTATTTATTTGAGAGAGAGAGAGAGTTGAGCAGGAGGGGAGGGGAAGAGGGAGAGGGAGCAGCAGATTCCCTGTTGAGCAAGGAGTCCCAAGGCGGTCTCCATCCCAGGACCTTGGGATCCTGATCAGAGCCAAAGGCAGACGCTTAAGCAACTGAGCCACCCAGACGCCACAGCATATAACTTTATTTTTAAAATATTAGTGGAAAGTACTGAATCATGACTGGAAATCTAAAGCAGAGTTTACTGCGGTGAAGCATAAATGCAATAGCAAATACTAGTGTTCTACTAGATTCATAAAATGAAAAGGATGAAGAACACTTATTTATTTAGCTTTGATTTTCAAAAGTAAGCTTAGTGAATTAAAAATTCACTTTTTCATAAATAATTAAAAGCATTTAACTGTCAAAAATAAATCAAAAAAATTGTGATTAGCAAAATAGCAAAAGGATAATAAGTAATCATGTGGTAACTTGAGTGGTGATGATTAGATTTTTTTTTTTCCTCCTGTGTGTTATTAGAGAATTTGAACACATGTCACTCTTGACTTGTTAAGCATTATGTAGCTGCTGTCCTGAGGAAACTAAAGGAAAGAATGTCATTTTAAACCTTGTTAAATTTATTTGAAATGTATTGTCAGGGAAGGAGCGATAGCATTTACTTTTGTAAATGAACATATTTAGTTGGCAGTAGTCCAGAGAAACTAGAAATACATTTATTGAAGGGTAGACTGTTTGCTTTCATGTGATTGTTAGAATTTGTCTAAATTAGTTACATATATTTTTATTTTTAGTGGAGAGGTATCATAAAAGTTCCTAATAAGTAATGAAAATACTCAGTTTTTCTGTAGGAAACAGGAAGTATTTTATGTTTTATTTTTTCCTTTGCACTAAAAATTTGCAGCTATTACATGACTTTCAAATCATTTGGAATATAATAATTTATTTACTTTTAAAGAATGTTTAGGAAAGAGGATAATTTATCCAATTGTTCTCTAAGGAGTGTAGCCTCAAATTACAAATGGTTCACGGTTCACTCTGAGATGAAAGCTTATCAAAATATTTTTTTAAATGGGTTTCTTGAAGATAATTTTAAAGACATACTAGGTTATTAAGCTCTTTTAATCCATACCGGCAGTCCTAGAAAAATTTGAGATGAAGAAGCATTTGAACTTTGTTAGCATTGTTTAATCTGTTAATGACACTTATTTCTTTTGAGATGAAATGTACTGTGTACTCTGTATCACAACATATTCAATGTGAGATACTTAAAAGTCCAAGTTATCTTTTGTATTCTCTTGTTTTACTCAGTTTGATTCTGAGTCTTTCTATATCTTCTTCTTTGCCGGGAAGATTGGAAAGCAATGTGGCACTATAATTATATCCACATATGGCCATGATTTTTGTCTTCTTAGGAATTTGAGCAGTTTAACAGGAGGTTAAATGAGGTTTCTAAGAGAGTTCGGATACCCCTGCCCGTGTCTAATATACTTTGGGAACACTGTATACGGCTGGCCAACAGAACTATTGTGGAGGGGTAAGTTTTCATGAAAACATTATCTGAGTCTTCAATGATAAATCATAATATATGGATCACATTGTATGTTGTCATTACTGGAGAGAATAGGTAGAGAAAGTCATAGATGGCAGATAGTCCTATAATAATTCAGGTTTGACTTTAGAACATAATTGAAGAAACCTTAAACCCCACTGTGCCTCCTCTGTCTGTGCTTTCTTTTCTCAGGGGTAACCTAGAACCAGCTAGTAGGGGAGAGTGGAAAGTAGCATCTCATGGTTATCTGAAAGTTAAACTCATAATAATTATTATTACTTAATGATATAATTATTATGATTATGCATAACACATATTGAGCACTATGTGTCATTTACTGGATCAAGCACTTCACAGGATTATATCACCAAATCCTAACATAAACTCTTTGATAGAACCATTATTCTCTCTGTTTTATCAAGGAGAAAACCTCAGAAAAATCAAGGTTTAGAGAGATTAAGTAACTTGTCCAAGTTGACACAGTTTTCAAACACCAAGAAGGTTTATGAACTTCTGATGGCAAAATCAGGCCTCATAACCACTATGTCTGTTAGTGGTATCATTATTATATCATTGTAAACTGTATAAATCTTTCATATGTTGAGTTTAAAGATGTATCAGTACTAATTTTCCCACTTACTCAGCTTATTATGTCTAGAATATAAACTATCTTTGGAAAGCAAGCCGCTGTCTCAAAGACCATTCACAGTGGTCTGGAATTGCACATCAGTTGAATTTCCACACTATCATTTATCTGATTTCTTTTCAGTTCTTCTTTGATATAAAGAAGAATGTTATTAGAGAGTGGGAAGGTGACAGTGACAAGCTGACAACAGTTTTGGCACTCTGTATTGAAACCAACGGTGCTGGAAATCACAGAATGGCTCTGTGTCAAGAGTCACAACTGAAGAGTATTTTTAATAAATTTGTTTAATAAAGTAGAAAAGTGAATAATGTTATATTACTGTACAAAACACTTTTTATTAAAACAAAAAACAAACCCGGTCACTTCAAACAATACGCTCTTCAGTGTCCTTGCAAATTTCCTTAGGGGGAAGTACTGCATTCCTAGGGTTGGATTCTCCACATTTTGTATTATTGAAGGAATGAGACACTGACTTCTGAGTAATAACATGTTGTACTCTTAGGGTTAATACATTCTTATTACTACTCCACCTTAGAACACACAGTTTTTTAGTAGTGAGGGGTGTCAGAATAAGTCTATAAGGTTTATGACAAGTATGTATATCCCTTTTTTTGCTTATATGCTCACACGTTTCTTAGGTTCAGCTGACAGTCCATGGGGAAATTACTGCTTTTGTTTCTTTGCATCCAGTAGTTACAATATTGAACAGTTTTATGAAACTAAGATTCGTTTGGAGTATTCCTGGCTCAATTTTTATAAATAATTCTTGGCAACCAGATTTACGGGAAGACCAGTTTAACTTTCTTACAGATGATTCTGTTAATTGACTGGGGGTGGGGGAAACTATAGTCTGTGGAGCTGCAAAGAACTTCAGAAGTTATTAGATCTCTTTGCTTTGCAAATGAGGAAGCTGAGGCCCCGTAGGTAAAATGACAGCTGAGTGCCAGGGCCCCAACACAGCCCAGTCCTTCTGACACAAGGCTCCTGTGCTCTTTTCCCTGGAATCCTCTCGTTTCTGAAGAATCTGTCCAGATATGGGTTAAAGAAGAGTTTAAGTACCTACAGGTTTCTTTTTCCATCCCATCATTTCTGGTTTTTTATTATTGTGTATCTTAGATATGCCAACGTCAAGAAGTGTAGTAATGAGGGTCGTGCCTTGATGCAATTGGATTTTCAACAGTTTTTAATGAAACTTGAAAAACTAACAGATATTAGACCCATTCCTGATAAAGAATTTGTGGAAACCTATATTAAAGCCTACTATCTAACCGAGAATGACATGGAACGCTGGATCAAAGAGCACAGGGTGAGAGCTGGAAAACAGTTAATTAAGTTTTTATTCCTTTTCCTTTGTGCTGTTCTTGTCTGGTGTATTATATAATTCAAAATCATGAGAGTGAAATATAAAGCATCAGCTGATTCTTTGCCATATTCACACTGTGTCTATGCAGTGCCCTTTGCGTAATCGAATCCTTTTGAGATCTTTCTGAACTGCAGCAGTAATTATCTGGAATGGTAGCCAGAGTCTGAACTTTAGCTGTGTTTATCCTGCAACTGTGTTGTGGGAGAAGGCTGAAGTTGGTTACCATCAAGACAAATTGAAGACAGCAACATTGAAGGGATTCACAAGCTAACGCCTGTTATATAACTTAAACCTTGTAGCTCTCAACAGTGAGTTGCTGTCATCCTGACCACACTGACATATATTAGTGATGATTGAATATATTAATATTTAAATGGCTAAATTTAACTTCCTCCTACATTAGATTTTACCTTGAGTATAGATGTGATTATTTTTCTTTTGTGTGGCTATAAAAATAAGTAGAGAAAAGTATTATTTATTAAGTGTTATTTAGGATGCTGAATTTTTGACACAGTTCAACTCAACATCAACATCTATCACCAGAGCATGCTCAGTATGGGGAGCTTTCCTAATATGATTGTTCTATCGTTTGTCTAGGTAGGCAGTATGGGAAGACAGATTTAATGAAAATATGGGAAGTATTAAAATTATCACCTCATTTTATTCCTTCAGTAACTCTAGTGATCACATTTACTTATGCTATAAACATCATGGGTAAAAGCTAAGTAAATTTTTATTTCATTTGACTGGGTGAGGAAATAAGGAATTATTTATACTTTATCAGCCCCATCCAGTCTGATTTTGAAACTCTAGAAAAATGAAATGAATATTAGCCTGAATTTTGTGGAAATGTGCCCACTGTGGGTCAGTTTCATATCTTTAGAAGCAAAATAGAAATGTACATATTATTTTCAGTGATTTTTATCAGTACACCAGAATTGAGAAAAATGTCGTCCCTTTTAGTCCCATTGACTTCTGACATTTGAAAACCAGAATGCTAAACGCAGGAACAGATGGACTGCTGAATGTTGCTGGAATCCATTTAGTAAAGTAAGCTGTAAACACTTAGAGGTTGCTACTGAGGAAGGTATTTAGGGAAAGAGTACAAGTAACTGAGGAGAAAAAGCACAGCTCTTAGATATCCATTATTTGATGCAAGAAAGATACCAACTTTTGGGTTTCCTCTTTTAATATAGTGCACCAAAATTTTTAGCTTAGCATTTTGTGAGAACTTTAACTAGCTGATATTTGTAATTCGGTGAAATTTTCTCAGGAGCCAACTATTCTGTCTTCCAGGACAGTGTCTGGCTCAGTGCTTGATGACAGTGGATACTTGTTAAATGTTGACTGATTAAGAGAATTTATCAGATGCTAGCAGGTGCTCTCAGAGCTCAGATACACAAACTGAATAGTTTGCTGAATTTTTAAAGTGAACTTTTTATCATATTTTGAAATTGTGCTATCTTTAGGTGGTTACCTCCAGTGAAGACAGATGACTTTTCTTCTTAGATGATAGTATAAAACTCTCTCTTTTCCTTATCTGAACTCTTGTTATTCATCCTCCAGAACGAGATCAATATGCAAACCTTTCTGGTGAATCCCTATTCATTCTTTTCCTAGGAACTCATTATCTGAAATTCAGGAACCAAATAGATTTGTACAGCATAAAAGATTTAGTCTTAATTTTACTTACTAGCTATAATGACAATATGAGGGTTTAAAAGCCAGTAGCTTTCTGATCTTTGTTACCTTACTCATTTATCATATTTCAGAAAAGTTGTTCTATGGTTAGAGATTTTTTTCCTTTCACTTAAAATGTTTGCAAAATGTAGAGTGCCAGAAAATAACTATTTAGTAGCATTTTAAAATTTTGAGAGGTTAATATATTTTAATAACTTAATAAAGACTGTCACAGAAACAAGCATAAAGTGTGTGGTCTTAAAAGTAGCAAAAGCACAGGCATGTCAGATTACTCTGCCATATTGAAGAGATTCTAGTCCTTTCTGTTTTGATGTATCCTGCGGCGTCCTTATTGTTATTACGGCTGAGTAAACAACTTGTTTCCATGTCTCAAACTATAATTTCCTCTGCTTTTCACTGATTTGTAGTGCTCGGTCACTATCCACTGAAAACTGAGTATCTGCCTGTTCTTTCCTTGCATTGATCAAATACATGTCTTTCAGTGTACTAAATTTGGATCTTTTTTTTTTCTCGAGCAGGAGTATTCAACGAAGCAGTTGACCAATCTGGTAAATGTTTGCCTGGGATCCCATATCAATAAGAAAGCAAGACAAAAACTTCTAGCTGCTATAGATGATATAGATAGACCCAAAAGATAATGAACACATTCTTTTTTCTCAATGGCATTGATCTTCTCTCAACATATATGACATGAAAGCCAATTTTTCATGCACTCCTGACTATTGTCTGCTAAGAAATCTTTGTGCATGTTCTTTCCAACTGGAAAGTGGAAAACACTGAAGTTCGTGTGGTGTTCTCAAATGACTTTTATATGCTCTGATCCTTCTCTTCAACTTTTAGTCTCATTTGTTGTATTCTTTTTCTGAAATGATATCATTGCCTTGTCATAAGTATTGTTATGTGACTACAGTTATACATTTTACTGAAGAATGCACTGTAAGTATATAATTAGAAGGAACAGTGATAATGCATCCATGGGCAGTTTTTGGAGAATGAATTTATGTTGGTATTTTTTTACCCTCTCTACTTGGTTCTTAATACATAAGTGAGAGGGTTTTGTACAGTATCTCCTAATTATGAGCACTGCATGAGAATTGAAAAGTACATGTAAGCAAAATAGCTGAAAAATCAGTATGTTCTCTGTGTTTTTAAATGTCAGAGTTTATGTCGGGGTTAATTTGGTTATAACAGTGATCATAAATGATGAAATTGAATAAATATTATACTCTACCACGGTCCGCCTATGTAAGACTAAATTTTGATATTGTTCCACGGCAGGCAGAATTTATGAAACTGTAACAGAACTTTTCAGTGTGTTCTAACAATTTTAATGATCTTACATCCTGGTACCAGTGGTGAAAAGTAATTTCATTGGATGTACCTTTTCAGAGCCTGAGTAGCACCCAGAATAGTGATTATGGGATTTTTTTTTTTCTTTTCTTTTTCTTTTTTTTTTTTTTAATATGGGACATTTTTTCACATAAGCGTTGTTCTCTTTGAATTCTGCTTCTGTCTTAAGACAGGAAAACCTGGCTTAGCTGAGTTAGGGGAAGAACTGTTAGTAGTCAAGCATAAGTTTATGGTCATATGTTCACCTTTCTTAGAGATCTGCTTTGTATCACAGATGTAAAATAATGTGATCTAGCTAGGAATAAACTTTGGAACTCAGTCTTTAGTAACTGTGTACTTTGCTTTGAAACCAGAGATCTTCTGTCAACATATACGACATAAAAATCAGTTTCCCATTCACTCCTGCCAACTATCTTTTACGGAATTTTTTGCATGTTCTTTGTGACTGGAGAGTAGAAGACTCTTAAGTTTGTGTGGTTTTGGTCCAGGTGTACTGGGCATGACCTATAACATCAGTAGCTCCCAGAATCCTGAAGCATCATCCCATGAGAAATGGGCCTTGTGTCCTGTGAGTCTTCTGGGAACTGAGATGCGGAAGTGGAGGGCGAAGGGTGGTACGTGATCAAGCATAGAGGCGAATAAGGAGGGAGGGGATTGCCACTCAGTGTCTGCCTTTCCCTGCAGATATTCATAACTGGCACAGTATACTAGAAAGTGCTTTTAGAATCTATCTCTGTGCAGGTGTTAGTATGTGTGTCTGTACGATGAGTTTTTTTCTTTTCAGCCTCTGCAGTTCATTCACTGTCAATATTGCCAGTAAAACTTTCCTTTTGTTAAAAGGTGTGGGCTTGATGCTGTAATGGTCTACTTGTGGCATTAGAATGTGTACTTGTAAGGCAGGTTCTGCCAGTAGCTGTTATCCATATACAGCCACCGGAAGAAAACGAATATGAAATAAGCTTGGTCCTTGTTGTTTAAATGACACATTCAGCTGGGACATAAAGAGCTAATCAGTCTCATTTATTTCTCAGTTGATTAAGAGCTGCTTGTTTCTTTTTTACATGGACTTTGTAGTTGGCTTTCTTTAATTTCTAGTTTAGTTTGCCCTAGGTAGTATGGACAGCAATTACCTACCCGGTAGAGTGTTTTCCAGGATGATAGGAATTGATACAAAAGAATTACTTGTTAGGGAATCAGCCATGCAGTCAGACAGACCTTTTAACTTACCCATACTCTGCTTTGATAAATATTTTTGAAAAAGCTTTTTTTTTTCTTCATTTCAGGGTAGCTTTTAATAAGTGCTCATTAACATCAAAACAGTAACAGGATACTTGAGTTGTGAAATTACCTAATAACAAGAGAGTTACCAGACATTTCTCAAATACATTATGCAGTGATAATGAATTATAACCATATAACATTTTGTGAAACTAATTTTAAGATAAATAGAATTGAAAAGTGTGAGAATATAGATCGAATTATCTGTATTCTAAAATTTTTACTGTTACAAAAATTTCTTTTTGTGTCTAAGTTTGCCTGAACTTTGACATTTTATATGAAAGTATCCTATGAAATTCAAGATTTTAAGTTAATGTGGGAGCATGGTAAAATAGCATTCCCTGATAAAGAATGATTATTTCTATAAATATATTGTCTTGCATTTTAAAATGCTAGGGAGATACATAGCAGTTCAAATGAACTAGTTTGCTTCAGTTTATAAAGCCTACAGAGATCTTATAAGTTCACTTTGACTAGTAAGCTCATTTGCTCAACTTACAAAATGAAATAGAATTTTGCTTGAAGCCAGGACCATGTGGTATTTTATCATATCTTTAAGCAGAATTTCCTTTGAAAATTTCTATTTAGCCAAGTGCTAAAGTGAAACTTTAAGTTAGATTGAATAGCTTTTTCTTTACCTGCTCACTGAAATGTAGTCATAAAAAAGACTTGTAATTCAATTTACTTTGAAAGCATAGTTATCTTTTGTAATGAAAAATTGGACCTGAAGATGAAATACAAATTGTGCTCAGAGCAAAATGAAGAAGTCCTGGGGAAAAATATTTATATTTCTATATTTATTCTTTGGAGTAATTTTAATACAGACTTGGTAGTTAAGACAAATGATATTTAACTCTTGAGAATGATTAATGACAAGAAAATTATTAATACTCTGGTATGATCTTTGTAAATATTAAGACCAGTGCAGCTTTCTGCAGATATTCTCTTTTAGTATTATGGAAAATATTTGCTCAATTCTTATCATCCACAAATTTTTTTTAAATTTTTTAATTCTTATATTATCCCCATACATTACATCATTAGTTTTAGATGTAGTGTTCCATGATTCATTGTTTGTGCATAACACCCAGTGCTCCATGCAGAATGTGCCCTCCTCAATACCCATCACCAGGCTAACCCATCCTCCCACCCCCCTCCCCTCTAGAACCCTCAGTTTGTTTTTCAGAGTCCATCATCTCTCATGGTTCGTCTACCCCTCTGATTTCCCCCCCCTTCATTCTTCCCCTCCTGCTACCTTCTTCTTCTTCTTCTTTTTTTTTTTTCTTAACATATATTGCATTATTTGTTTCAGAGGTACAGATCTGAGATTCAACAGTCTTGCACAATTCACAGCGCTTACCAGAGCACATACCCTCCCCAGTGTCTATCACCCAGTCACCCCATCCCTCCCACCCCACCCCCCACTCCAGCAACCCTCAGTTTGTTTAGTGAGGTCATATGATACATGTCTTTCTCTGTTTGACTTATTTCGCTCAACATAATACCCTCCAGTTCCATCCACGTCGTTGCAAATGGCAAGATCTCATTCCTTTTGATGGCTGCATAATATTCCATTGTATATATATACCACATCTTCTTTATCCATTCATCTGTCGATGGACATCTTGGCTCTTTCCACAGTTTGGCTATTGTGGACATTGCTGCTATAAACATCGGGGTGCACGTACCCTTTCGGATCCCTACATTTGTATCTTTGGGGGAAATACCCAGTAGTGCAATTGCTGGATCATATGGTAGCTCTATTTTCAACTTTTTGAGGAACCTCCATACTGTTTTCCGGGGTGGCTGCACCAGCTTGCATTCCCACCAACAGTGTAGGAGGCTTCCCCTTTCTCCGCATCCCCGCCAACATCTGTCGTTTCCTGACTTGTTAATTTTAGCCATTCTGACTGGTGTGAGGTTGTGTCTCATTGAGGTTTTGATTTGGATTTCCCTGATGCCGAGCGATATTGAGCACTTTTTCATGTGTCTGTTGGCCATTTGGATGTCTTCTTTGGGAAAATGTCTGTTCATGTCTTCTGCCTGTTTCTTGATTGGATTCTTTGTTCTTTGGGTGTTGAGATTGATGAGTTCTCTATAGATTTTGGATACCAGTCCTTTATCTGATATGTCATTTGCAAATATCTTCTCCCATTCTGTCGGTTGTCTTTTTCATCCACAAATTTTTAAAGGCCATCAGAAAGTTCAAGGTGAACAACATTCCCAAGGACAAAACTATGTCAGATTTTATACATGAGACTTCTTAACTCGTTTGAAAATAATGGAGGAAAATAGTTCATTAACTCTGAGAGACTTTTTTTGATTTGTGCATCCTTTTGTGAATATTGCTAAGTATACCTGCATCATTTGTTCAGTTTGAAAACAAACCCATAATTAGATTCTCTCCTTTATCTGCTAAGGATGTTGGGGGAAGGGGCAGAAATTTGGGGAGGAAGGATAACTAGTCTCTCTATGGGATTTTGGTACTTTATTGATTTATTTAGAACAGTTTTTTTGTTTTGCTTTTTGTTTTTGATGAAGAAACATTTTTATAAGTTCCTTGTGATTACTTCTCGATCTCAAGACTGGATCTCCAGGTTTGCTCTTTACAGTTTTTCACACTGAGCCAAGCCTTTCAATCCAGAAAAGGGATTTTATTTATTTTTTATTTTTTTATTTTTTTATTTTTTATTTTTTATTTTTTTAAAGATTTTATTTATTTATTTGAGAGAGAGAGAATGAGAGAGAGCACATGAGAGGGGGGAGGGTCAGAGGGAGAAGCAGACTCCCTACCGAGCAGGGAGCCCGATGCGGGACTCGATCCAGGGACTCCAGGATCATGACCTGAGCCGAAGGCAGTCGCTTAACCAACTGAGCCACCCAGGCGCCCTAGAAAAGGGATTTTAAAAAAATCTACAACCTATATTTTATTCTCTTTCTTCCCCCATCCCTTGTTTCTTGATTCTGCCTATCAGCAACCAAAAGGATTTATGTTTTAAAGAGAAGACATTTTCATACTGTGGGCATTTTGGTCCAACTACCACAAATAGCATACTAATCTTTGCTTTAGATGGGAGGGACATTTTAGTCAGTTTCCATTTCAGTAGAAGTCCCTTCTGGAGCCTCCACTAAAGTGTAATTACACCCTCAGGTAACCATTGGAAGACAATTTTTGCTGACTGCCTGCTGTCTGCCTTATCTTATTTCTACTTTCTGTCACAGTTCCACCTTTAAGAACCCAACCAAGATACTGTACTTTCCATGAAACCTGTCCTTCTCAGGAGTAGGTGCTATGGGGAAGAAGGGAATGGTGGTGGTTGTGGTGGTAATAGAATTTTAACAAGGAAGATGGCCAAAGATCTCTCTTGGAAGGAAGTAAGGAGGCCAGCCACACAGTTATCTCAGGTAGAGTGTTGCCAGCTGAGGGAGTAGTAAATGCAAAGTGAAGGCTTAGGGTGAGGGCTTCTGCTCTGAGAGCTTTAAGGAGGCACAGCAAGTGGGAGAGAGTAGGAGTGGAAGGGATGTGACAGGACGAGGCACACAGAGTGAAGGCCTATGAACCATGGAAAGGACTTTGGATTTTACTTTCAAGATAGGAAGTATTTGGAAGATTATGAACAGAGCAGACACCTGATTTCTGACTTAGGTTTTAGCAACATTACTCTACCTGTATATTTGAGAAAAGGCCGGAGGAAAACAAGGACTGAAGCAAGGTGACAAAGTAAGAAGCTAATACAGTAAACTAAGAGCAGCATAATGGAGGCTCAGACTGCTGGAGTTTTGGTGGATATGGTGAGCAGTGATCACATTCTGGATGTGTTTCAAAGGTAGAGACAGGGTTTGTTGATTGGTTGTTGTGAAGTTTGAGAAAAGAGGAATTAAAGATGATTCCAAGACTTTGGCTTGAGAAAGTAGAAGTCTCTGGGAGAACTGGGTTTGTGAAGATGATCAAGAGAACAGTAGGACAGCTGAGTTTTAAGAGACCTTGAGATATACCATTGGAGGTATAGAGAGGCAGCTGTGCACGAGTCTAGAGAAGTCAGGGCT